TAAGATGGATGGACTTTGACTCCCATAATTCTCCAGTCAACAAGCTTAAAATGGGTAGACTTCAACTCCTAGAATCCCCAAAAGCTAGCATCCTAAGATGGATGGACTTCAAGTCCCAGAATTCCCTAGCCAGCATGCTTTAAGATGGGTGGACTTTGATTCCCATAATTCTCCAGTCAACAAGCTTTAAAATGGGTAGACTTCAACTCCTAGAATTCCCAAAAGCTAGCATCCTTTAAGATGGATGGACTTCAAGTCCAGAATTCCCTAGCCAGCATGTTTTAAGATGGGTGGACTTTGATTCCCATAATTCTCCAGTCAACAAGCTTTAAAATGGATAGACTTCAACTCCTAGAATTCCAAAAGCTAGCATCCTTTAAGATGGATGGACTTCAAGTCCCAGAATTCCCTAGCCAGCATGCTTTAAGATGGGTGGACTTTGATTCCCATAATTCTCCAGTCAACAAGCTTTAAAATGGATAGACTTCAACTCATAGAATTCCCCAGCTAGCATCCTTTAAAACGGATGGACTTCAAGTCCCAGAATTCCCCAGCCAGCATGTTTTAAGATGGATGAATTTTAACTCCCGTAATTCTCCAGTCAGCATGCTTTAAGATGGGTGGACTTCAACTCCCAGAATTCCCCAGGCCGCCATGCTTTAAGATGGATGCATTTCAACTCCAGCATGCTGCCCAAGGAATCCTGGGAGTTGAAGTCCACACCTCACAAAATTGCCCATTTTGAAAAAACACAGCACTAAATTCTTACGGACTTTCCTTTCCTACTCTAGTTTTACATTAAAGGATTTCATTTTCTTGGACAAAAGCCACCCTTTGAGTGCATTGAATTGAAAAAAAAAAAAACACCATATTGGCCATCGGCCATCCCTGTTCTCCGGTGTTTCAGCTTCCTCTTTTTTTTTCTCATCTACAAAATGGTCGTAATAAGATGGAAAAAAAGGGGGAAAAAGAGAGACGAGGGATGATTTGAAGTGATGGAGCTGGTTCCTTGCAGATTTGCCAGGAAAAACAATTAATATAGTTAGTCTTGGATCAGAAAGGCAATTAGCTCTTTGAAGGTGCAAAATATAGAAGTTTAACCAAATTAAAATAACGACAATTTCCATATTTTCTACATATTACCCAAGCAAGGTATTTAAATATTTAGCATATGGTTTTTAAAAGACAAAAAGAAGTAACGAAAGACCTCAGATCCATTCAAGTGCAACAGAGACGTGAGAAATTAAATACAGATAGTCCTCGACTTATGACCCCAATGGAGGCCAACAGGTCTGGTTGCTAAGCGAGACAGTTATTAAGTGAGTTTTGCCACATTTGATGACCTTTCTTGCCGCGTTACTAAGGGAAAATCGCCGCAGTTGTTAAATCAGTCACACGGTTGTTAAGCGAATCGGGCTTCCCCATGGACGTTGCTCGTCGGAAGGTCGTAAAAGGGGGTCACGTGACCCTTTTTATGACGTGGCAACCATGTCATAAATACGAACCAGCTGCCTAGAGTCTGAATTTTGATCACGTGACCAAGGGGAAGCTGCAACGGTCATAAATGTGAAAAGCTATCATAAATCATTGTTTTCAGTGCCACTGTTACTTGGAACGGTCACTAAACAAACTGTTGTAAGTCAAGGTCTTATTTATAGTGTCTCTAAACCCTTCCTTCCTTCCTTCCTTCCTTCCTTCCTTCCTTCCTTCCTTCCTTCCTTCCTTCCTTCCTTTCCTTCCTTCCTTCCTTCCTTCCTTCCTTCCTTCCTTCCTTCCTTCCTTCCCTCCTTCTTCCTTCCTCCCTCCCTCTCTCTTTCTATCTTAAAAATATAACTGTAGTGACCTAGGCCCAAGTAGTTATTACCAGACACAATCAGTCCTAAACAAACGTATTTTATTAGAATTACTTCATTCTCAGTTTAGTCCAAATTAAGTCCAAAACAAATCCTTCATAAACAGTCCTTCGGCCTTATCACCAACCTTTGTCTTCTTTGGCACCCTGCCAAAGGCTTTTCTTGGCAAAACCCCACTAAACAGACAAGAAACAAATGTAGCAACGTTGTTTTGAAGATCCCAAGAGCCCTTGCTGCTCTTTGAAGCCTTCTGGGAGGGGCCAATCATCTCCTGGCCTTACTCCCGAGTCGTCCTTTTTGCTTTAACTGATCTTGCCTTCTGGCAGCTCTTCGCATGCGTGCACTAGGAACAGGCTCCTCCTGTTCCTCTGCCCCTCTGCTGTCCGACTCTAAGGGCTCCGGAGTCCGTGCATCGCTCCCAGTTGGCCCTTGCCCCATCTCTGCCTCGGACCCAGAGCCCTCGTCCAGGCCTTCCCCAGACTCCAGGACTGGCCCATGGTCGTCCCCAGCCTCCTCACTGTCCGATTCCACTGCCAGCTCCGCAGGCTGCTGGCGGACCACAACAATAACTGAGATAACTTTTCGCTTCCTTTCAGACATTCAAGCTGTAAACTCAGGTTTTTCCCCAAGCGACAAGCGCAAAGGAACCTTGCTGCAGGCTTCAGAGACTGTCCGAGATGCAAAATTTTGGAATTATGGCCAGACAGGTTTTGCAATTTCCTTCAGATTTGCCGGTAATTTTTCCAAGACAAAGCAAGCAGGTCGCTTTAAAAGAGCTTAGCACAACTTCCATTCTCTGTGGCTGGTGTGAAACACACCTTATTTCCTTCCCTGGAGCAGTTTGCACATATTATGTTGCTCCAACTGGTTGGATTTTTTTTTTTGGTACTTCCATGAGCAGCAAACAAATTTTCTTGTTTATCAGCTTTGCCGAGCCAGCGTGGGAACTGAGCTTTCCCCAAAATGACAATTGCTAGCAAATTTGCCAGAAACGCATCATTTATTCCAGCTGCAGAGGTGGACTTTCCTTGAAAACAGGATCTCCAGTTTCATGACTCCGAAATCCAGATTAAAAAATGTAACATAACAAATACAAGTAGTCCTTGATTTGTGACCCGTAACGTAACTTGGAATTTCCATTTGGATTGTTGCGACGGTCATAATTTGAGACACCTACATGATCCACCTGATTTTTACCAACATTTTTGCGGGGCTCGTAAAGCGAACACCGCCGTTGCAAAGTGAACAGCACGGTCGTAAAAAGAAAAAAAATGCCACGGTCGTTAAATGAACCCATTGTGCTCAATGAGCATTTACCCCCCCCCCCGAAACCAAAAGTAAATATCAGTTTCTAGCAAAAATATATATATATAAATCATGGTCATTTGACCACGGGATACTACAAATGGCCATAAATGTAGGCTGGTTGCCAAGCAACCGAAATATGATCACGTGACTGTGATGGAGGGCAGGGCCAGCTGTCAGAACTTTAAATCTCAATTGCATCTGTTTTGGGTGTCCGTCGTAACTTTGGATGTTCTCTAAGCAATCGGTCATAAATTGAGGAACACATGGACATGTAGCCAAGGAAGACGGCATCCCCAAGCTGCAGTTTCAGGGTTTTACCCCTTTCCTGACCCGCTTCAAAAAGGCTGTGTTAGCATAAACCAGGTTTGTCAAAAACCCAGCACTGCTCATCTCCACCGGCTAATCGTGGTTAGTTGTTGTGGCCTGTTGGCTGCTGGCCCCTCCAGCAGCCGAATAAGAGGAGGAGGAGGAGGTGTGGGAGTCAGGGTCAGCATCAGGGCAACCTGGAAGCTCCGAGGGGGAAGAGGGAATGGAGAGAGAGAGACAGAGGCAGAGCCTGGGCCGTCTGTCAGCCCTCAAAAAAGAGGGACTTCCGGTTGATGATTCGTGGCGACATGGCGTGGTAAGAGCGATCGCTCCTTCCTAACACCACTTATCGCCGCGTTTTGGGGACCCTTCGAGGCGTTGAAGCTTGGAGAGCTTCGCGGACAATAGTGGGGTTTCGGCAGGCAGAGGGAATGGAGAGAGAGAGACAGAGGCAGAGCCTGGGCCGTCTGTCAGCCCTCAGATGGAGAGTCAAGAGCCCCCAGGTCTGGAGGTGGCTGATGAGGAAGAGGAGGAACAGCTGGGTCCAGTGCCTGATGCACAGATATACAAAAGGCAGAGGAGAGGAAAGCAGTGGAAATCTATGGGCTGGTCCTTGGGACGGAAGAGCCACTGCTGCTAGCGAGGCCCCACCCTAGCTCTGGGGATAAAAGGCAGGGGGTGGAGATGAACAGGTGTGGCAGACAACTATTCAACATCCGGTCAAACAGACTTGTTAGCCTGCAAGAGAAACTTTTTGCCGGGGTTGCCGGCATTCCTAATAAAGGAATCATTTGAGTTCACGCCAGAGGGTTTGTTGTGTTTGGGGAGCTGGGTCAGAACATTAGTTCAATCCCGATTAGGTGTTGCATCCTGTTAGGATATGGTTTGAGCCTAACAAGTTGTCCAGGCAATGTATGTGTTCTGTGATTTTAATATGAATATGTATTGTGTGACTTTAAAGTTTTACTGCTGATTCATTGTAATGCTGAGTCATGCTGTAATTAGTTGTGAACGTATTTAAGAAAGGTACTGTAACGTATTCAGTTGATGATAAGCTACCATTGTGTGTGGAGTTGCTACCATTGTGCTATCATCGTTGGATGGATCTGCTACCATCGTGGTTGGTGAACCAGAGTGAGTTTGTTATTCTAACCAACTACTGTTTGTGTGGTAAGAAGAGATTTTTGTATCACTGGACTGATTTAACTGGCAAAGACTTGGATTGATTTAAAAGACTATGAGATTGTTTTTTCACTATAAAGTAAACTTTTGATAAACCAGTTTGCACATCTCTTATTCATTGCTCTCAGCAACGTTTCTCTGTGCTCTACACTCTGCTGGTTGGTAACACAACAACAATATCCTTAACACATCCAATGTCGGCTTATGGTTCCCAAGAGGAAAAGCAGGATGTAACAGAATAACAGAAGAGTGGGAAGGGACATTGGAGGTCTTCTAGACCAACCCCCCTCCCCCCCGGCTCAAACAGGAAATGCCACACCATGTCAATTGAAATGGAAATTATTTACTTACTTCGTGTTTTCCCTTCATGTGACAGATGTTGATGTCGTGTTTATTCGATCGCCAGGTCATTTTCTGTGTCAAGAGCAGAAAGGACAAAAAACCCCCATCAATTAAAAAAAAAAAGGCACTGTGGATAGCTTAGAAAAATACATGCCCCTCCCTCGATATACACCCTTGCCCCCCCACCCCCCCCCCCCCCCCCCGACAAAACCACTGATACTGCAAACCCCAATTGTGGCTGGCTGGGATATCTTTAAAGGTGAATCTGCCACTTTAAAATGCAATTTTTTAAAAAACAGTTTATTTATATATTTTTCCTTAACATACACCACCCATAGAAGAAGACGTAATTTTAAAAAAATACTAGATTGTGCAGAAATGGATAGGTTGACATTAAGATAAAAGATAAAAGAAGAATACAGAATATTTTCAAACATGCGGGCGGGGGCTGCTGGGGGTTCGCAGCGGTTCGGAAGAACTCCTAGCTAAGATTCTGTGCAGTTCGGAGAACCCCCAAATCCCACTCTTGGCTGCCCCACCCATCCTGCCCGCCCCTCACAGGAGTCCCCATGCAGCCCATTTTGGATGCAGGTAAGAGCAGGGCGCATGCAGAGGCTGAGGGAGGGCATAAAACCGGGCCTACCGGAAGTTCAGGAAGGCCGGAAACGGGCCCATTTCCAGCTCCAGAGGGCCTCCGGAGCCTGTGGAGGCTGTTTTCGCCCTCATGGAGGCTCGAGAAAAGCCTCCGGAGCCCGGGGAGGCCAAAAATGCCCCCTCCAGCTGTGGTGCAAGAGGCTGACTAGGCCACGCCCACCATGGCCACGCCCACCCAACAACCGGGCAGAGAACCCCTTGCTAAAATTTTTGAAGCCCACCCCTGCAAACATGAGACTTATTTTAGCAATGATTGGCCAATAGAAGTAAAAAGTAGAAATTGGAAAAATACTATTATGCTTAATATATTATATATTTACTATTCTGTAAGCAAACTGACCCAGATGATACGCTGTTCATGAAGCACGTATCTATGTTAACGAAAAATATATAAATAAACTGTTTAAAATGCAAATTTTAAACCCCCTCGAATGCATCTCAAGGCTGAAAAAAAAAAAAAAGGAACAATTCCATCGCACCACCGAGAATTAGGGCACCTTTTTTGGGGGAATTGTTCTCGGTTTCTGTTGTTTGCAATCTTCCAACCTGTTTTAGCTGGTTCTGTTTTAGCTTGCACTGCTCATGTCTGCAATTTGGTGATTAACAGTTTTACAAACACAGGCATTTCAATTTGGAAACCTGTTGCCGGAGACATGCATACTGTGTCTGCAATTTTCCATCAAGAATATTTACCATGTTTTTCAGACTATAAGACGCTCTGAAGTATAAGACGCCCCTAGTTTTTGGGGAGGAAAACAAAGGGGGAAAAAATCTGCCTCTGCCTCCCAGCAATTTACCTCCTTGCAGCAAACAGCCTGGTCAGCTTCAGCACAACCTGATTTATCACAAGCAGCTGATTGGCGGTTGGATCGGCCTCCGGAATACTGTCTATCAGCTGTTCCAGGCTGCGGGGATTGCCACCACCTGTCGCTGCTGCTGCCTATTGCCACCTCTGCATGCCCCATTTTTGGCCTCTGCGCATCCCATTTTTGGCCTCAGCGCACCCCATTTTCGGCCTCCGCATGTCCCGTTTTTGGCCCGTTCCAGGCGGCAGGGATCGCTGCCCCTGGAACAGGCCAAAAATGGGACACGCGGAGGCCGAAAATGGGGCGCACTGAGGTGGCAATAGGTGGCAGCAGCAATGAGCGGCAATGGGGGTGATGGGTGGCGGCGATCCCCGCATCCTGGAACAGCTGATAGGCGGGATTCTGGGAGGCCGATCCAACCGCCAATCAGCTGAGGTAAATTGCTGGGAGACAGAGGCCGAAGGATGGGGACTGTGGGTTGGTGGGGCTTCGGAAACATTTGCTGTGTAAGACACAGACATTTCCACCCACTTTTTTTGTGGGGGGGGGAGGGAGGTTTTTTACACCGAAAAATACAGTATTTTTGTAGACACACCAAGATGCCTGGGTGGATAGCTATAGTCTACGCAGGTGTCTGTATGCGTATAAGTGTTCAACTTACAACCATTCGTTTAGTGACTGTTGAAAGTTACAACGGGCACTGAAATGACCATTTTCACCCTTGGGACCGTTGCAGCGTCCCCGTGGTCACGTGATCAAAATTCGGATGCTTGGTAACTGAGTCGTATTTATGACGGTCGCAGTGACCCAGGTGATTCCCCTTTGGACCAGCAAACTCAAAGGGAAAGCCAGATTCAATTAAGAACTGTGTTACTAACTTTAACAACTGCATTGATTCCCTTAACAACCATGGCAAGGAAGGTCATAAAATGGGGCAAGACTCACTTAATGAATGTCTCACTTAGCAACAGAAATTTGGGGCTCAATTGGGGCTGTAAGTCAAGGACTCCCTGTATATACATACATAAATAGATTTTTTTCTTTCTGGCAGCCGAGTGGATGTGATTCTACTGAGCTAGGGCTGCAGAAAAACCTTGGTTACGTAGGAAAAACCTGGCTAGAGGAAAACACACACACACACACACACACACACACATATATTATACATACATGCATCCACATGCATGCATCCACATATACATATGTATATGTATGAATGTGCATGCATGTATTGTATATAGTACAATATATATTAATTACATTGTACTGTATTATATTAATTATATTATCATATATTATATATAAATATTTTTGAGTATGTACATATTTGTTTCTAATGTTTGCCAATCCAGTCTTGCAAAACATTGATTGAATTGTTCTAAAAATGCAAAACAAGGTAAGTTAATATTCAAATGCAGGTAGCAAATATATGTCTCCAAATTCCCTTTGAGAGCGTGCAAAAATGCTTTTTCTTTTCATGAGATTTTTCTGTTAGCTCCCTCTCTTTGATAAATAAGAAAAAAAGAAGGAACGGACAATTTCTTTTTAAAACAGTGAATGTTTCAACATGACGAAGCGACTGGAAAATTAAATTACTGGCGGTAAGCGACAGGAGAATTAAAACAGCCCAAACAATCTCGAAAAATAGCAATAAAAAGGCAGTTATTCCTTTCTAATGCCACCTGGACATGCGCTTTAGAGAATATACAGGAAAAGAAGAATTTCTTTGAGTGGTGGTAGGCTGCAATTGATTCACAACAATAATAATAATAATAATTTATAGCAAGTGGAGCACCACTTGAACAGAATCGGCACTGAGAAAATCTCCAACTGTCAATTGCAAAAGGTAGTTTTACTCGGAATAGCTTACGTATTGCAACCCTCTCTTTAATATTATTAAACACCCACACTTGCGTATCCCAGGTTCTTCGGAAGGACTCGAGAGATAGAGAATAATGCTAGGTAAAGGTAAAGATAAAGGTTCCCCTCGCACATATGTGCTAGTTGTTCCCGACTCTAGGGGGCGGTGCTCATCTCCGTTTCAAAGCCCAAGAGCCAGCGCTGTCCGAAGACGTCTCTGTGGTCATGTGGCCGGCATGACTCAATGCCAAAGGCGCACGGAACGCTGTTCCCTTCCCACCAAAGGTGGTCCCTATTTTTCTACTTGCATTTTTTACCTGCTTTCGAACTGCTAGGTTGGCAGAAGCTGGGACAAGTCATGGGAGCTCACCCCGTTACGCAGCACTAGGGATTCGAACTGCCGAACTGCCGACCTTTCGATCGACAAGCTCAGCGTCTCAGCCACTGGGCCACCACCTCCCTTGAATAATGCTAAATTCAGGTTAAACATCTGGCGGCGAAATGCTGATTTATTGACCGTTCAGTGTTAAAACAGCCCTGAAAGAAAATAATAACTAAGGAATGTTTTGCTCCCTCCCTATAAGGGAGTCATTTGTTAAGTGAGTTTTGCTGCTTTTTACCACCTTCCTTGCCACCGTTGTTAAGTGAATCGCTTCAGCTCTTAAGTTAATCACACGGTTGTTAAGTGAATATGGCCTCCCCGTTGATTTTGCTCATCTGAAAGTTGCAAAAAGGGATCAGGTAACCCCGGGATGCTGCAACTGTCATAAATGCGAGACAGCTGCCCAGCATCTGAATTTTGATCATGTGACTGTGTTGGATGCTGCAAGTGTGAAAAATGGTCATAGGTCGCTTTTTTCCAGGGGCTTTGCAACTTCGAATGGTCACTAAATGTACTGTTGTAAGCTGAGGACTGCCTGTAAGAAAATAATATTAATAAATAACCATGTCAAGGTAATGCCTCACTGGGGGTTAATTACAGCCATATATGGAGGGCAGCCTGTATTTATTGAGAATTTGTCTGTTAAACTTACTGTAATTGTAACACAACACAATTCTTCATTTTATCTGCCTAAAGCGGGACTAGAACTCACCGTCTCCTGGTGATTGGTCCAAAGTCACTCAGACAGCTTTCATGTCTAAGGCGGGACTAGAACTCACCGTCTCTTGGTGATTGGTCCAAAGTCACTCAGACAGCTTTCATGTCTAAGGCGGGACTAGAACTCACCGTCTCTTGGTGATTGGCCCAAAGTCACTCAGACAGCTTTCATGTCTAAGGCGGGACTAGAACTCACCGTCTCCTGGTGATTGGCCAAAGTCACTCAGACGGCTTTCATGCCTAAGGCGGGACTAGAACTCACCGTCTCCTGGTGATTGGCCCAAAGTCACTCAGCCAGCTTTCATGCCTAAGGCGGGACTAAAACTCACCGTCTCCTGGTGATTGGTCCAAAGTCACTCAGCCAGCTTTCATGCCTAAGGCGGGACTAAAACTCACCGTCTCCTGGTGATTGGCCCAAAGTCACTCAGCCAGCTTTCATGCCTAAGGCGGGACTAGAACTCACCGTCTCCTGGTGATTGGCCCAAAGTCACTCAGCCAGCTTTCATGCCTAAGGCGGGACTAAAACTCACCGTCTCCTGGTGATTGGTCCAAAGTCACTCAGACAGCTTTCATGCCTAAGGCGGGACTAAAACTCACCGTCTCCTGGTGATTGGTCCAAAGTCACTCCAGCTTTCATGCCTAAGGCGGGACTAGAACTCACCGTCTCCTGGCGATTAACTCAGTCAACAAAGCCAGCGGTAACCAATAGACCAAAATGCAATCATAATATTCTTTACAATTGTTGTCTTTCTAATCTCCAATTTACCAGCAGGAAGGAAAGCTCCAGAACTCACCCGATGGTACCGCATCTCTCCGGCCGTAGCAGATTCCAAGCTGATCCGGTATAAATTATCCCTGCGGAGAAAGACAAGAGGGAGAAAGTGGGGAGGGAGAAAATGAAACTCATTGAGAGAAATAACTTTGCATTTCCCCTCAATGTTTGGAGATCTCCCCAAATACAGCCAGGCCACATTTAATAGAATAACAAGAGTTGGACGGGTCTTTGGAGGTCTTCTAGTCCAACTCCCTGCTCAGGCAGGAGACCTTATACCATTTCAGACAAATGGTTGTCCTAAAAACCTCCAGTATTGGAGCACCCACAATTGATGAAATCCAGCAGGTTCTGACAGGTTCTGGCGAACTGGTAGCGGAAATTTTGAGCAGTTCAGAGAACTGGTAGCGGAAATTTTGAGCAGTTCAGAGAACTGGTAGCGGAAATTTTGAGTAGTTTAGAGAACCGGCAAATACCACCTCTGGCTGGCTCCAGAGTGGGGTGGGATTGGAGATTTTGCAATATCCTTCCCTTGCCACGCCCACCAAGCCATACTACGCCCACCAAGCCACACCCACAGAACCGGTAGTAAAAAAAATTTGGATTTCACCACTGTTCTGAAGGCAAGTTGTTCCACTATTAATTGTTCTCACTGTTAGGAAGTTCCTCCTTAGTTCTAAGTTGCTTCTCTCCTTGATGAGTTTCCACCCATTGCTTCTTGTCCGACCCTCAGGTGTTTTGGAGAATAGCTTGACTCCCTCTTCTTTGTGGCCGCCCCTGAGATATTGGAAGACTGCATTCATGTCACCCCGAGTCCTTCTTTTCATTAAAACAATAGTAAAGAAACAAAGACCGAAGCAGTCTGCAATTTTTAAAGAATGTTTGCAAAGCGAGAACATCCCACTCTTTTAAAACCTGAAATTGGAACTTAAAGGGTGCGTGGATATCCTTGTCTCCTTGCCCTGTTTTGAGATTTTAAATTCACGCAAAAGGTTTGTTCCCTCTCCCGGCTTGCCAGGTGCTTGATGGATGCATAGAAAATCTGAGTTCTTGGATTGCACGCCCTTAGGGGATAGCGGGCCTCTCCAGGTTAACTCTCCAGGTTAATCCTTTGAATGTGGCAGCAGCTGGCAGGCCTCTCTTTCAGCAAAGAGACCAGTGGTGGGTTTCACATATTCCTACCACCAGTTCGCCGTGTGCATGCACCGTCCACGCATGTGCCCAGCCTTCCGCGCACGCGCTCGACCTCAAAAACGTGGCTAAATAGGATGTCTTTACGCCAGTTCAGGTGGACGGGTGGACGGTTGGGCGGCCACCCACGATCTCCGCTACTAGTTCGCCCGAACTAGTACAAATCGGCTACATACCACCCCTGAAACAGATCCATTGAAATCTCAATTAATTGAGTTAATCCACCCCCTCCAAAAGGCAACACAATCCTAGGCTGTATGAACAGAGGGATAATATTGTACAAAGAAAAATCTGGTCCGGTTCCAATCCGGGAAAAAGAAATAAAATGGAGACTCATTGGAAAGAAGGATTCTTTTTATGGATGAGCAGAACCAACAACAGCATGTCGTTCTGGGACAGCTGAGCAATTGGTTTGACGAGTACAAGGATTTTGAGAAGCTCCAGGGGTGTTGCATAATGTAGTGGGCCTTGTGCCTTTTCCTATTCTAATGGTAGCAGGTTAATCCTATTACAGTGATGGCTAACCTTTTCTGGACTGAGTGTCCAAAGTGCGTGTGCATGCAAATGCACATGTGTGCGCACGTCCAAACCCCCAAGATGCAATGCGCACGGGCCCCCCATGCAGGCACCCCCTGCGTATGTGTGAGTGGGCCCCCGCATGCACTCTGCCCCACCGCATGCGTGACAGAGACCTGAAGACCAGCTGCCTGGCGGGAGGCGTGTGCGCATGTGCAACGGAGCTGAACTGGGGCGATGGCTCGCATGCCATCAGAGAGGGCGCTGCATGCCACCTTTGGCATACGGGCCATAGATTCACCATCACAGTCCTATTATGTCCTAAAGGTCATGTCCTGTTCTTAGAATTTGGGTGGTGTGGCGGGGGGCAGAGATAAACTCTTAATCCCATCAACTGGAGCCGACGGTGTTTTGTTTGTGAATAGGCTGGCCTAGATTTCTTAGCAGGCACCAAATATGCCATCTCTAAAGACTTCAAGCATCTGCTGGAGGCTGTTTGGACTGCTTTCTGCCTTTGTTTCTGCCTCTATTTCTCCTTTTTCGGGAAATATAATATTCTGCCTCTTTTAATCTCCCCCAAAATATTTCATTCTCTGGGAGGGGGGCGTCCTACAATATCAAGATCACAAGAAGTGATAAGGAATACTTGGAATATTTTTTTTTTAATATTTTTTTTTTAATTTTGATTTATATGCCGCCCTTCTCCGGAGACTCAGGGCGGCTTACAATGCGCTAAGCAATAGCCTTCATCCTTTCGTATATTTATACAAAGTCAGCTTATTGCCCCCACAAACTGGGTCCTCATTTCACCTACCTTAGAAAGGATGGAAGGCTGAGCCAACCTTGAGCCTGGTGAGATTCGAACTTACAGTAATTGCAGGCAGCTGGTCTTAATAACAGGGTGCTTTAGACCACTGTACTACCAAGGCTCTTTTGCACCCAGTTTTTGGTCACCGCAATACAAAAAAGATGTTGAGACTCTAGAACGGGTGCAGAGAAGAGCAACAAAGAGGATGAGGGAGCCGGAGGCTAAAACATACGACGAATGATTGAAAGAACAGCGCTGGTGTACCATCTAATGCCCATCATTTTTATCTGGCCAGACAATTATAGCACCAGGCCGGTGTCTTTCGGCTTCACCTCCAAAGTGGCTGTTGCCGTTGCAATTTGAAGGCAACGTACGCTCCCGGGAATCGGCTCCATCTTGCGCACATCTGTCCTTCTTTAAACTTTTATCCGGCCCCATTAAAACGAGACGGAGCGGCTTGAAGGAGCAGTTGGCCGAGCTGCGTTTGCCAGGCCTCCCCTTTGGAGTCAGCGGAATGAGACACCGGAGAGCATCCAGATACTAATCAAGGAGAGAAGCGACCCAGAACTACGGAGGAATTTCCTGACTGTGGGAACAATTAGTCCGTGGAATGGCTTGCCTCCAGAGGTTGTGAATGCTCCGTCATGGGAAGTTTTTAAGATGATATTAGATAACCGTTTGTCTGAAGTGGTGCAGGGTTTCCTGCCTAAGCAGGGGGTTGGACTAGAAGACCTCCAAGGTCCCTTCCGACTCTGCTATTCTGTTCTATTCTATTCTATTCTATTCTATTCTATTCTATTCTATTCTATTCATATTTTCTATTGCTATGCTATGCTATTCCTACCTATGCTATTCCATTCCATTCCATATTTTCTATTCTATCTATTCTATTCTATTCTATTCTATTCTATTCTATACTATTCTATTCTATTCTATTCTATTCTATTCTCTCTTCTCTTCTCTTCTCTTCTCATTCTCTTCCTTCTCTCCTTCTCTCTTCTCCTCTCCTCTCCCCTTCCTTCCCTTCCCTTCCTTCCTTCCCTTCCCTTCCGTATTTTCTATTCTATGCTATGCTATTCTATTCTATTCTATTCTATTCTATTCTATTCTATTCTATTCTATTCTATTCTATTCTATTCTATTCTATCTATTCTATTCTATTCCATATTTTCATGCTATGCTATGCTATGCTACGCTATGCTATTCCATTCCATTCCATTCCATATTTTCTATTCTATTCTATTCTATTCTATTCTATTCTATTCTATTCTATTCTATTCTATTCTATTCTATTCTATTCTATTCTATTCTCTCTTCTCTTCTCTTCTGTTCTCTTCTCTTCTCTTCTCTCTTCTCCTCTCCTCTCCCCTTCCCTTCCCTTCCCTTCCGTATTTTCTATTCTATGCTATTCTATTCCATTCCATATTTTCTATTCTATTCTATTCCATTCCATTCCATTCCATTCCATTCCATTCCATTCCATTCCATTCCATTCCATATTTTCTCTTCTCTTCTCTTCTCTTCTCTTCTCTTCTCTTCTCTTCTCTTCTCTTCTCTTCTCCTCTCCTCTCCTCTCCTCTCCTC